TCACATTTTCTTCCAACATTAAAGCACACAAAAAAGGCAACTCAGTATGCAGAAGAACCCTAATGTACATGGTGCCTATGTGGTGCAAAACCTCAGAAAAAACAGAATTATAGTAATGCTTGCAGAAAAAACAGAATTATAGTAATGCTTGCAGTCAGTTTGCAGTTTACATCCATGTGTCCAATAATCCACTAATTTGATCCCTATCCAAGTCAAGCGTCTAAGATAGAGAATGTTGTTTGCGGTACAGATCTTGAAGCTCAAAAAACATGTGCTCACGTTTGACCTGTAAAGCTGATTCCACATACAAGTTTATAGCTATGATAGCCAAAAGAGTTTTAAATATATTTGTTACTACAAAGAAACTGCATCCAAGCAGCAAAAAAATCAAATAGTCACACAATACTCACAAGGTACACATCCAGCATTAGTGTTGCAGTATTGAACAATGGCCGGAAAAGTTTTTTTTTAAATATTATGTTACTGTAAACCAGAAATTTAACCCTTTGGATATAAAATATCATCATTTACTAAAACGTATCCATTTGTGTGAAATTTGGTCAATATTAGTTTATGAGTTCTTCACACTATGAAAGTTGGACAGAACCACGGTGACATTAGTCATTGAAGTCTGTTATGAGGCCACAATCTTAGTGTTTTTTTGCTGTCATTATCTTGTTATTTTTTGGAAACCGGGTGCACAATGGTGTATCTTACTGTGAAAATAGTGTTTTTTAATAACAAGGAGTTAGCTCGTTAGCACAGACTAGATAACCCTCCTTTGTGACAGTTTAAATGATCACATAATGATTTATTTAAAAATTATTTACAACATGGACTTAATGTTTTTTTATCAGCAAGGTACAAAATGAGTAACTGAGACAATTTAATCATTAGGAAAGCATTTACTGATTAGAGCCAAGGGACAGTTTTGAAACCGGATTTCTAAAGGACTGAAAATCCTTTTGCAACCCCATGAATAGGGATGGGTATTGATAAGATTTTCACGATTCCGATTCCATTTTCGATTCTGTTTAAC